TGAATACATATATATTTATATATTTTATATTTTACTCACCGCTTATTTCAACGTCTGTGAAGGGTTTCTTTTTAACGGGCTGGAAAAGGGAAAAAACCAAGTTAATAAAAATAATTTTGAAGAACTGATTAAAATATTAATTTCATCTACCTTTGTGGCCCGTTTGCCAAGCAGCGCTGTGCCCAACATCTACAAAAGAAAACACAAAAATTCAATTAGTTTAAATTATGCTCAACTTAAGTCTCTTATTAGTAAGCATATTACATATATATATATACATACAGTCAAGTGAAAAAGTTAGTAGTCGAATGCAATTGTGTTGCCTACTTTCAGGCGCAACCAAGAAATCATTTGAAATCGTAAATTAATTTGGCAAGCAATTGGTTGCAGTTGCTGTTAGCGCGTATTTACTGTGCTTGGCTGCATGCGTTTTTATTTATTTCTCTACTTATTTGTATTTTGACATTTCGCTTATTACGTCGCTATTTAAGCATCCATTCGGGTCTACGTGTTGTAAAAGCTATTTTCATTTTGTAGTGATTTTTATTTTCGTGTCAAGAATTCGGGCTATTTGTTATTTGTGCCCGAATCGACAAACTCAGACAACAAAAAAAGAGTCAAAAATCAAGCTGAGAGCAAATTAATTCACCGCTATGAAATATTTCAAATGCCTAAAATATATGAAATCGCCCGAACTGTTAAATCAAAATCATTAGCAATTTAAATATCTCACATTTTACATATGAGATTCTCTCGATGACCTTTACCAATTTTAAATCAATACAATTTTATAGTCATTACGCTGTTTAGTCGTCGCTGCTCATCAGTATGCATAGGACACTCTCCTACAGCTCAGCGCCGGCTTCAGCTGGCGTAAACATGCATTAAGTATGCCGAGACACTCTCAACTTTATCTCACGTATTGCCCCCGAGCTCTAAATAACAATTTCTTCAACAATTTATAAGTTGCTTCAAAGGTTATTTTTCCAGGAAATTCAAATAATAGTAAGAGTTCAGCTAGATAGTAAACTAAGTATTACTTTTGATGTATTGTTCACTTTTGATGAACTATTAATTGCAATTATTTATTTTACAAATTTATTTATTATTTTCATCATTATTATTAAAGATTATTCATTATTTATTACTAGTCATTCATTATTCCCTTTTTTTTTAAACTTTATTATTATTATTATTCATTGTTTGAATATTTATTATGATTTTTATTTATTTGATTTATAGTGAATAATGAATAAATTTATTATCAACTAACTGATTATAACTTTAATTAATTATCATTATAATTTTAGGTATTTTTTACTCATTGTTTACTATTCATAACTAATTTTATTAATTTTTGAAAATTATTTATTCGTTTTTAATATTCACTATTCATTCCCTATTCATTTTCCATCCATCATTTATTCATCGCTCATTGTTCATTGTTCATTACTCACTATTTATTACCTATTATTAAATATAAAATTTTCAAAGTTCGCTCTTGAACAGTTTGAAAAATTAAATTGGCAGCAATAAGCTAATAATCGCCTTTGTTTATGTTAGTCGAGTGAATTTTTGTTTAAACACTGAATTTCTTTAATGCCGAAAAAACATTGAGCACCCACTGCCGCCGCCGCCTTGAACGGTCCCATAATGGCAAGTCTTGCATCGAAATATTTATATGATTTTATATATAATTACAGACTTGATATGGAGTAATATAAGAATCTTTCCATGAGAATCTCATATCCAGCTTATTATCTATCTAGCTAAACTTTTTCTCTCAATTCTCTTTCATCTACCTAAATTACCCATATAAAATCGTTTTTGATACATTTTCCTGGAAAATTGAGGCGTTTCTTGTCAAGTGCTAAACATGCCATTAAATCTTGAGCCTATAAGTCATAAAAACATTATTTACCTTCTGGCAACAATTAATATTTACAGACATATTAAAAATTTTGTTTTGCATATAAACGAAACAATCTTTATGCTCGCCAGCCCAAGTGAAAAGTGAGCATATTGGTTTTGTTTTTATGGAACACTTGACTGCCTGATCTTAGAGTTAAGATTGGTTAGGACTGCTGTCCGTTATTCATACAGCCGTGAGCGAGTATCATGCAGTCAGTTATGCCCAACTGCACTATGCAGACTTGTTAGTACCTGCTGTTATCTCAATATGATTTTATAGCAATATTTATATACATAAATATTTACACAATTGCTTAGCAGTTGCTCTTGCTGCAGCGGTTCGATTTGGTTCGGCTCGGGTTCAATGCGATTCAGGTTTTTAGGCGGGGAGCGGGGGGGAAACATGGAAGTTTTAGTTACTTTATGCGATGTGATGCTACTCACCTTTAGCTGATGACGCAGTCCACTCATTGGGCTCATTCAATATTGATAAGAGCGAAAGGCAGAGACGGACAAAGAGAGAGATAGACAGAGAGAGAGATGTGGAGAAAGAGAGACAGAGAGTGCAAGCGAGCTGGGTTGATGCCTTGTGACGGTGGCGTATATGTAATATTTATATTTGGCCTACTTTTTGCTTCAGTTGGAACATACAATTTTGTGTTTTTAATTATTTACAAATCGTTTTTGCACATTTTTTTATGTTCTTTTTCTTTAAAGTTAATTACGTGTTTTTTTTTTTGGATCACTTCACATTAATTACAGCCGCGTGTAAACAATTAACACAAAATCTTTACGAAATGATGTTAGAAACGCAAAGCGATTTCTTTAGATAAACTAGAAATCATTTGTTTAATTGCAAATTCAATTGAAATTGCTCAAATTTTAGAAATTATGCAGTTCTTCTTTGGTTTTATTGAAATTTTTAAGAAATGGTTTGGCTGCTCGCTCAATTAGGTTTGATTTTTGTTTCAATTTATTTTTCAGCTTTTGAAGTTTTTTCTCTTTTGTTGTATATACATGTGTATGTAAACTATTAACTGCACTGCTAAATGTACATCATATAAACTATTATTTTTCTTGAAATTTGATTTCTATTTAGACTTTTATTCAAGCGCTGCGCGACGATCGTCTCACAACGGAGTCCCAAACAATATTGAAAGCATTTTATTTCGAATGATCTACGAAAGCCAGCCGAAATCTTGGCCAGACAACAGCAACAACAACAACAACAGCAGCMGCCGCAACGACTAAAATATACACAAATTGTGAGCAACAAATAATAAAAAGGAAAAGAAAAAAAAATCACGAAGCAGAAAAAAAACACAGCGCAGCAATAAAATAAAATAAAATAAACTCAAACTGAAACTGAAAACAAAATCAGCACGAAATACCGGCAGCTGCCGTGCCAGACAAATCATTGTTGTTGTTATTGCTGTTGCTCTCTTGATCGCATGCTCTCTTCTTATTATTGTTGTTGTTGTTGTGTTTGCCATTTTGCCTAATTTTCATTACTGATTTACTCAAAATTTGCCTTTCATAAGTTTTTATTTTTCCTGATTTTTCTTGTCAACACGCAACGTATATATCGCGCATGTGTGAATGTGCGTGTGTATATGTGTGTGTGCCTATGTGTGTGCGTATGTCTTATTCTTATGACTAGTCGGATTTAAGCTAGACAAAGCCAAATAGCACACACACAATTTATTGCATATATACACATACATATATACATACTATATACATTTATAATATGCTCTCAAATTATATATCCACGTGTTTATATATCGGACATAAAACATAATAAAGCTGTCCTGAAATATTTTCATATCATTTGCTACGCACATAAATCCAGATTAAGAACAACACAAAGAACAAAGACTTGGGCGGTATTCTTGCGGCTGATTGATTGGTTGATTGACTGACTGACTTATAGATTGTTTGACTTAATGAATGACTAGCAACTGCATTGATTTCAATTGATAATAACTAGTTTGATTTTCATTTATGGAACTGAGCTCTATATAATGTTAAACAAATGGATTGATTGATTGATTGACTATCTAATTGATTGCTTGGGATCTTTGCAAAAAGGCAGCAATAAATCTGATAAAATGCTGTAGAGCAGTTATCAATAGCATCTACACATAAATTGTGAATAATCTTGATTGCAAAAGTTCTGTCATAAATAATATCTGAAGCATGTATATAATTTTTCTATAATTCCCAATCATCTTGACACGATTCATTGACTAATTACAAATTCTCACTTCTAACTGATTACTTAAGAGCTCGCTCTAAAATCTGCCAGTTAAATAAATATCTAACCCCAAAATGTCTGATTTTAGAACGGAAAGCAACAATATATATTTGTATGTAATTATTATTATAAAACAGATAAAAACAAATGGGAGCAATGCGTTGCTCACATTTTTTGGTTGACAGTTCGTTCAACCCGTTCGCTTAAATCATGTGAAAAGATGCGTGCATCATGCAATGGGTGCGAGCTAAATGCGTTCAGGCTGTCAACCTCGCCTCGGCTTGCCTCTAGATCGGCGCACGCTGCGTATGAGTTATATTTAGAGCAGCTGTTGCTGCAGCTATATTAAATTGAAACTTGGCACAAAGTGCAGCAAAGATTGATGGGGATGTACAGCAATAGCAGCAGCGGTCGAACGTAAATCTCTGATAATTTCTTATTAGCCAGCTGTCTTAGGGTGTCGCAACACACGGCGTATACGTAATGTGCGCCGTGTGTGTCGATTGTCGAATGAAATCTCCGACTAATGAAGTATTGTTTGGAGATAACTGTGCTTCTAAATGGATATATACCTAACTGAAGTGCTTTGATGTGTTATTTACATACTGAACTTGACTTTTGCTTTAGACAGGTGTTCAACTGTGCGAAACGTGCATTGTTATCGGTGCTATAGATCATTACATTTATCTGTGTCTATACATAAATATATATATAATATACATATATATTATTAATCATATTTTGAAAAACGGCTCGCTAATGTGCCTTCTGCGCCTTTTGCCAGTGATTTATTTCCATCTCTCGCTGGCGCGAAACGTTCAATGTAAATATTTACAGCATTTATTTTTGTACATTTTAACAAATTGTGCAAAATAGAACTAATATGTAAACGTCTATAGATCTATATATAAGATACATAGTGTACTACTTGTAAATATTATGAAACAGCTTGCGCCATCTACCGATGTGATTATACATTAGAGTTGGCAAATTGAGAAGTTCTTATTGGTCCATAGGCTTACACTCACTCTTGATTGGCTGCTGATACGCTGAATGGAACAAACGGATCAGAGATGATGGAACGAAATGAATCAGTAAAGAACTAAGGAACTAACAGAGCTAACAGAGTAGCATTGAGCTGTATCACATGCTTAGTAGTTCAATTCGGTGACTCGTTCAATTGAACACATACACACAACTCTAAAAGACACACACACACACGCACGCATACATGTACATATGTATATATATAATAGATACTTAAGTGAGGAAGTTGTTAATGTGTGTGCGAGTTAACGGCGCGTAAATTGATAGCATTTAAATGAACATGGGAAGCTGTTTAGCTGAACGAATTCATTTTAATGAAAATGTCGCACATTTTTATGAAATCATCAACAACTCAAATAAATTATTTAACTAATTGCTCAAAAAACAAATTAAACTTGATTTGTTTTGGTTGCCAAGTGCTTTGCACTTACTGCAAACGGTTGCACGCACTCTCCCGCTTGATCAGCCAGATTGAACACGAAATTGAAAACGAAATCGAAATTGAATTAAAACTGTGCTGATTTCCTTTGAGTAAGCAGACACTGTATAGAGACACGAACACACGACAGTCAGCCAAACGGGCACGCGGTCCAAATAGAAATGATCTTTCACGAGCGATTCGCATTCGTTTTTGTCAAACGAATCTCTGCGCTGCTTTGTGGGCGTGGCAGCGGGCGTGGGTGTGCGGCAGCAAAAAACAAAAACAAATAGGTGTGTATTCATTGTTGTGGGTTTTGATGTGTCTCGCTTTTCCCACATTCAGTTTTAATTACTTATTTATTGCAAACAGAAATTTTCCAATGAAAACTAAATAAGAAAATGTTAGTACATGACCCTTTCTTTTTTCAGCTGAAATAACCATAAATAGCAAATATAAAATTATAAAAAACATTTGAATTTCGCGAATTTCCATTTAGATCGACTATATATAGAAAATATATCATATACTTTATATTTAGCAGCTGTTGTACAAGGCAATTTATTGATTTTATTATAACAGTGATTGATTAAAAATATTTCCTAGTTAAAAAAAATGAATTACAAATTTCCTCTATTTTAGTTGTGCGCTATGCTTTTCTCCCTAAATACTATATACTTATTGCTATATATGTATCTATATATATCACAAATTTGGATATTATCTTTGCTTTTGGATACTAGTCGAAAAAACCTATGCATTAGTTAAATAAAAATATATATATATATTCCTTTGTGTACTCTCTTATATGGAAGTGTAATAAAAATTGTGTCCTGTAATGTGGAAGTATATGAGTCTTTCACTAGATCATAAATTCACTTAGGGCTAATCTAAATATATATATATATTAAGCTTGAAGCCTAAAAAGCATTTCGTAGTAGTCAAAACTCTAATCATAGATGCGACATCTGGAAAAAAACAAACAAACAACTATTCAATTCTGTGGGCATCAAGATACACACACAGAAATAAAATAAAATACGAGTACATGTATGCACGCATGTGCGTGTGCGTGAGTACGTGTGTGCTCAAAAAGTAATTTCTAAAACACGTCAAGTTTTTGATTAGCTTCACAACAATAATCACGCATTAGCTGACCCTCTCAAATACTCTCAATAGCTTTGCAAAACTCCGCACTCAAAAGGGAAAGGGTGCACACACATACATGCATACATTTGAGAGCGCAATGGAGAGTATGCAAAAATGTACTGAGAGCAGTTGAGAGCGATCTCTCTTGCTATCTTGCTCGATCGCATTGGGCTCATGACTGAGTCATGTCCAATGTTCGCTCAGTGTACAAGAGAATAACGGACGAAAGCAAATTTGGAATGAAGATTTCGTTACCCTGTATCCATAAACAAAATGATCGGGTACTATGTTTAGTGGCGTTCCAGACGTTGCATCCATATATATGTTTGCTAATTGTTTTCCATAATTATTCAGAGTATCACAATCTTATACTTGCAAATAGCGATAGCTACCGAGTGAGCCACTGCGATGCGTCTCGCTTAGCTTAATATATTGACCCAGGAAATTTAACACCAACGCACTGCGACAGACATTATGCAAATAGCCTAGCAGATAGGGCGTTAGGATGGTGCCCATAATGTAGGCCAGCTGTGGAATACGCTCCGTGTGATCATAGAAGGGCCACAGCCAATAGCCCCGTCGGACAGCGTCTCTCGTATGATGCGTAATGAAGGCACAGAGTAGAGCACCCAACATTAAGCTGCTGCGAAAGTAATTCAGGCTCGCGGTGCATATATAAAACAGCAACATGGCAAAAATAATGCTAGAACAATGCAGAAAAGGACGACGCGTCAAATTTGTAGCATCCTAAAAACAAAAATGACAATGATTTATATAATAGGCAAGTTCAAGGTAATGAAAAAACTCACTTCCAGGTACAGGGAACGCGCCTCTATGAAGTGGTCCAAGTCAATAAACGAGGAGACGACAAAGCACGTGAAAATCAATATCCAGCCATAAAGTTGCGTCGTCCGCTCATAAAACTGCATGGCAAATGCAATTCCTGTTAGGGCTCCAATTGCTGCATGAGTTGCATTGTCGGCTAATGCCTTCAGCAAGGGATGCTGGGTGAGCTCCACAAAATTGTCACCCAGCAGGCAGGTTATGGTCACCAGTGTAGTGAGCACAATGCGTAAATAGACCATTGTGTGACAGTGTGGCATCGATTGCACCTGCTTTCTACGCTTTCGCACCTTTTCCGCTAGTTCTCGAGTAAATTAATTATGGACGGCAGCGTTGCTCTTCAGTAGTTCGTTGTTGTTGTTTGGATAAACTATGCGCATAATGCACAATCAATATAGTTTTTGTTTTGTCAATTTATAGTTTTAATTCCCTGTGAAGGTATGTAAATAGAATTAGCTAACTGTAAAGTGTGCATTTGCTTTTATGTCACTCACGTGTTTTAGCGTGCCAGCAAAGACAACAACTGCATTGCAGCAGCGTGTAGGGTCTGTTTTGGGGGTTGCAAGTACACGTACACCATTACGTGGGCTATTTGATGTCGCAGCAACAACAAGCGTCATTCTTTTTTGGGTCTAAGGTTTGCCCCTAAATTGTTTTGATGTGTCGAACAGATGTGAAGTGGGAGGCGGTAGCAGACTGATGCTGTAATACATCTGGTAGCACTGCACCGATTATAGTCTGGCCACACTACAGTCGCAACAGCTGTTTATTTAGCACTAAATTTGACCTTATTGCATGTTTCAGCTGTTTTCCTAAATTTACATATAATTTTGTATTTTTAATAATTCAGTGTCATGTTAATTTTATTTTTAATTTATGTATGAAAATCATATGTTCCCTCTGTATGTTTTCGAAATACTTTAATCAAAATGTTCAAGGGACATTACAAATTACTTGTCTGCATTATCTACCACGGATCTGGCAGCACATCAGCTTTCTTCTGACTGGTCGCACCGTGTATTTGGCGCCAAACTTAATGTGTTTGAAAAATTATAAAATTGTACGTGGTCTTTACTTTGAGTTTTATTTATTTTTTTTTGCATGGTGCATATATATTAATAGTTATATTAATCATTTATAAATAATTCGCATTTGAATTCTATAACAAATCAGCAGTGGAAATTTCCAAAACTGTCCGACGACTGCTGGTAAAAGCTCTCTCATTCCATCTCGCTCTTATAAGCTTGATCACTTGGAAGACACATGTACATACGTGTGTATTTCATCACACAGCGGAAGCATTGACTAAAGCTAAAAAAAATTAACTTCGGTTCTATTTTAATAAGAGACTGTGACATTTTGTTGATTATTATTTTTTTTTAGTTTTTAATTAATATGGGGTGTTTTCAAAATATTTCAAAAATATACATAGAAGTTAATATTTTATACGATAAGAGATAAGATTAACATATCAGATTAAACTTTTTATACATTGAAAATAAAAATTAAAATGGGATATAAGGAAATATCGTTTTTTTTTTTTTTTTCTTTAATTTTAATATGACTGAAATATTTAAAAGTGCTGCTTAAAATACGTTGTGACCCACTGTAGTCTGTACAGTTTGTCAAGAAACTTTTTACACTGAGAATAAAAATATGTTCATACATATATACATATGTATGTATTTTGACTGAGACTCAAATTAATATTTTCATTATGCATGGATTTTTTATTTTTAAGATTTTCGTACATGAGTTTGTATACAATTATGTTTTTATTTTATTTTACATTAAAGAAAATAATAGTTTAATATTCAATATTAAATGGATAATTTTTGCTCTTGATAGCATGTTCCATTTTAATCAAACGCTCTCCTGTATTATATGAGTCCAGCACAGCGTGATCAGCTGCAGTTAGCTTGAAGTCGAAAATGTTGAAGTTTTCCTCAATGCGCTTAGGATTAGAGGACTTGGGCAGCGGCACAGTTCCGATCTCGATCTGCAAGCATTCATAATTATATACATCAGTATATTAGGGAATGAATGTAATCTATTATTTGAGTTACTAACCAGATAGCGCAGCACTATCTGTGCCGTGGATTTTTTGTATTTATCGGCTATGGCCTGGACCTTGGCATCGTATATGAAGCTCGGCTGTTTCTTGGCAGGATCAGGCCGGCCCAGCGGACAATAGGCGGTGACCACAATATTGTGTTGCTTGCACAATGCAATAAGTGGCTTCTGATTCAACGCTGGATGACATTCAATCTACAGAGGAGATATGCGAAATATTAGTTGTTAGCACTCAACAGATAACAAGCTTTTATAGCCCATATAAACTATGCGGGAGGTCTTTTTATAAATTCATTCCCGCGGTCCCACACACAGGCAAATAAATAATCGCAAGTGTACATGTGTGCGTTTGTGTGCAATGCTCGCCCCAAAGATGTTTATAAAGCTGTTATTGCCTCTCCCAGAATAAACACGTTCTGTGAGTGTGGCACAGCCGTTAACTATTTTGCACTCACACGTAAAGCGCACATTGCATACACACACTTGAGAGAGTGCGAGAGTGAAATTGAGTGTAAGTTTGAAATTCTTAAGTAGTGTGACCAGATGAGGGAGTGTGTGGGCATCTCGCTCGATCGCCCTTGGCATATGGCTGTCGAGCCCTATGCCCACTTGAGAGCAAATTGATACGAGCAAATGGGAAATTGAGATATTTTGAGTTAAATGGGTTTGATTTACAATGTTTAAAGTACTGCAACCGCAGTTGCCTAACCTGGTTATGAATCGGCTTGATTTTGCAGTTTGCTAAGAGGCGCGTCAGCTGCTCGGAATTGAAATTGGAAACGCCAATGCTTTTGGTCAGGCCCAGCTCGACGAGCTTTTCCATGGCACGCCAGGTGTCCAGGTAATCGACATCGCTGCATTTAGATTAGATGGTTAATAGATAAACGCAAGGGCCATTACGTGACTTACCTCAGTTCCACCTCGCCCTTGGCATTGGTGGGCATCATTTCACTGTCGCCACGATAGACGTAGGAGTAGGGCCAGTGCATCAGGTAGAGATCCACATAGTCGACTCCCAAGTTTTGCAGCGTCTTGCGGCAGGCGTATTCCACCCTCTCCGGCTCGTGGAAGTGGCACCAAATCTGTTCACAAAGAAAGAAGACACCTGTCACACACCTGCCACCTGGACAGACAGTCCTTTGCTCACCTTGGTGGTTATGAAGATGTCCTTGCGCTGGATGACGCCCTCGGCTATTTTCTGCTGCACCGCCCTGCCCACCTCGCCCTCGTTCTCATAGAAGTAGGCGGTGTCTATGTGCCGGTAGCCGACGTCAATTGCATGTAATGTTGCCCTCTCGCAATCTCCGCCCAGCGACTGTGAGCAAGTAAATTATCATTTTCTGTCTCCCTCACACCCTCTGACAGCTGATAAGCTCTCTTCACTTGTAACTAACGAACGAACAACAACAGCAACTGCTGCTGATCTGAAATACTTGCCGTGTATGTGCCTAATCCAATTGCCTGGACTTGGGTTCCGTTATTATTTTTGACATAGAAAGCTTTGCTTGCGGACATCTTTGCGAATTCTCTGGCAGCTGCCGTTCAACTGTTTCTCGAATTGAGCGCGCGCTAGATTTTTATATGCGTCGCTGCACGAAAGCTTTTTGAGTGAGTGTGCTAAAAGTTCTAATAAGAATTATTTCCATGAGCTAACCAGAGTGGGGTGATATTGCAAATGCGCTCAAAGATGTTGCTACGGAAGAGGTAAGTTTGGAATTAAATGTGCTAAAAAATGTACTTATAATTAGTAAGGTATTTCTTTGACTCATAAATGGTAAATTACATTTTAGCAAAATTTCTACAATTCCGCACTGATATGCACTAAAAAATATAAAAGGTTATTAAATTCAGAAAATATGTACTAAATAATATTCGAAATATATTTTTATACAGTAAAAAGGTAATAAAATATTTAAACTAACTGAATTTCAAAAAATTTAACTAAATAACCATTATAAATAATAATTTATTTAAAGGCAAAGGTCTCACAAAAATGAACTAATTAATATTTAAGTCACATATGAATTTATACTTTAGTATTTTAGCAGTATTTTATTTTTTGTCAATGTCTCAAGCATTTACAATATATGAGTAAACCGCCATGGCGGGTTTTCTTTACCGTTATGGCGCGCATGCTTTAGCTTTAGCAGCTGGAACATTTTGGAATGTGGAACAACATCTGTTATTCAAAGTGGCACAAGGTAAGGCATCAGGAGTCCAAGTCCCATAGTCCTGGCCATTCCATCGTTTCAGATGCCAGCACAGTTGGCCCCAAGAAACGCACAGTAAAGGAATTTATGGGAAATCATTGGAATTAATTTGTTAGCCAGGTGAATATTTATAATAATAAATGTGAAGTTTACTGAATTAAGTGAGCTTAAAATTTAAAATAATTAAAAATCCTGGAGATATGCTAAATAAGCTGAAAGTTGTAGAGGAGTTGTAGCATAAAAATATATATACATATACATATACATATATATGTTCAATTAGACATGAGCTATATAGATTGAAATACCTTTTAATTATTGCTTTTAATATCTGATATAATTATTAATTATTTGATTCAAAATTAGTCTTAATGGTAATTGCAACTACGAATTTAAAAATTATTTGGATTGTATTTTTATATATATATGTTTTTTATATATATATATATATGTTTTTTTATACCCTGAACCCATTGAAAATGGGAAATCAGGGTATAATGGTTTTGTTAAAAGTATGTAACAGGCAGAAGGAGGCGTGGCAGACCCCACAAAGTATATATATTCTTGATCAGGGCGACGAGCTGAGTCGATTTGGCCCTGTCCGTCTGTCTGTCCGTCCGTCCGTCCGTCCGTCCGTCCGTCCGTCCGTCCGTCCGTCCGTCCGTATGTATGAACGCGTCGATTTCAGAAGATATAAGAGCTAGAGACTTCAAATTTTTTTTAAAATGTCCGTAATTACAGCGCGCATATCAAGTTTATCATTAAAAATCGATAACTCATCCCGATCTTTTTTTATCGATAAAAAACCTNAAAAGAAATTATTTAACAAATAAATTCTCATAATATTGCCCACACTGCAGCGCAGCCCAAGCGCAGTCGCTGCTTACTGCGCAGTTAGCAGAGCGCAGGCTTATGCGTGCGTGTGGATGCATGTGTATGTATGTGTGCATAAAAGAAGTGCAGAATGATTAGAATATCAGCTTGGAGGGTTCAGGGTATCTCGTAGTCGAGCAGTCTCGACTGGAGCTTTCTTACTTGTTTTTTTTTGTAGTATACGCAGCACGCCTTCAACTGCGCATGCCCCAAACCCAGTCGAGGCCGAGACCGAGCAGCAGGTGCAAGTGGGAGGGCGAGGGCAACGCCTCACTGCTGTGAAAACTCAAGGCTACTTCGATTAAGACTCGGACTGGATTGCCATAGGTTAGTCTACTACGATTGGATGCCAATTGGACTCCCATTGCACATATTGGCTACTCTTCTACAAGATTAAAGAGTCTCCAGTTTACTTTGAATCAACTTCTGATTGGATTCCACTATGCACTGGCTACTCTTATAAATTTGTGATAACCCAAAATTATATACAGATTGGATATTCAATATTTCATTGATTGGATGCTCACATAGATTTGGATACTTATATACAAGATTGAAAGCTCAATTGGATTTGAAAGCGGATTCAATATAGGTGTTATACTTAATTACGCATTGGCTACTCTACTATGGAAATACGTAAACTCACTTTGAACTAGATTCTTATTGGACATACATAGTTATTGGTTACTTGACAAGGCTGCTTTATCGTACATTTTGATTGGATATGTACTAAAATACTCTTATACGTGATTGAAACCATAGTGTACTGTAAATTAGAATCTAATAGGAGACTTTTGTCTGCATGCTTAAAAATTAAAAGCTTCTTCGAATTGCTTTCTAATTGGACTCAGACTGGAAACATGGCGACCGTAGCGCATGGATGCAGCAGTCCCCGACAGCGCTCGTGCAATGGCAGCAGCTCACCTGGCGGCCATCACAGCTCCACGCCGGCGATGTACACAACGATGCCCAAATATACGCGCACTGCCAGCCAAACGTTGTATGCCACGAGTCCGCAGGTCTTTGCCGGGGCCGGAGGAGCGGGAGGCATGGAGAGCTCGTATAACGGCTTATATATGCCAAGTGCAACGATGTCGCAGCGCCCTCTGTCGGCCTCTGCATTGCCAGAGTCTTCGGCGGGCTGTCGCAACTATTGGAACCAAGGCCAAAGCCAGAGCCAGGGTCAAGGCCAGGGTCAGGGTCATCTCGGGCACAGCTCTTTCTACCACAGTAGTGGGCGGCACTACAACTACAACAAACGTAAATCCGCCGTGGAGCTGTTGGCCGAATCGAAGCCCTTCTATATCAAATCCGATGCGGTTTTCGAGCGACTGCAGCAAAGAGCTGGATCTGCAGCTGGAGCAGGAGCAGGGGCAGGCGTTGGAGCTGGGATCAAACGGGGCCACTTCAGCTATGAGGAGCTGGAGGACAGGCGCTACATGAGTCTGAACAGACAGCAGCAGCAGCAGCAGGTGCAACAGCAAGTCCAACAGCAGGTGCAGCAGCAGGTCCAGCAGCAGGTGCAACAGCAGGTGTATATGCACAATCATCATCACCAGCATCATCATCAGCGGCACAGCCAGAGTCATCCGCGGGAACGACCTGGTGTCAACAATAATCTGCTGCAGCACAAGTTGCGCCTCCTGCTCGGCTCGGAGGCGGCGGCCAAGGAGCGCTCCAGCATGCGACGCCACGAGCTGAGCGACGGCAATGCCGATCTGCTGCCCGGCGAAGAAGAGAGCAGCGCATTGAGAATACCACCCCCCCTCTACCTACCCGCCCATGCCTTTGGCAGGGAGTCCACATACGGCGCATATCCGAGTGAGCCGAACAGCGGTGGAGAGGAACCGCTAGTGCTCACCGAGAACTACAGGCCGATCAGTCCGCCAGCCGAGTATGCGGGCAAGTCGAGTCAAGTGCACAATGAGCGTTACAGGTGAGCGATACGAAAATACAAATGAATTAAGCTCAACTTTGTGATTCCTTATACTCTCTCAAACGCATGCTCGCTCTCACTCACTCCAACTCAGCAGCATAATATAAACTAACACATACAAACGTGAGCATGTGTGCATCCACACGCACTCTTCTCAAAAAAAGCTTTTTGCTAAGCACTTCAACAGTTTTATGCTCCTCTCCTCTCATTTCCTCTCAGTAGTGCAACTTATGCATACATACGCATGAACATATGCATGCAGAATTAAGAGAGCAATTGAGTATAAATAAAATATGTTATGTGGCTGTCTTGCTCGATCGCATTAGGCTGTGCATATTCCACTCTTGTTGAGAGCGCTTAACAAAAAGGATCAAGTTAAGTTTTTTGTGTGTTGAGAGCATTTGCATAATATTTGTTTTGTATGGATGGCCAATGTGGTACAATGGCATATGTTATGTATAAAGCAGCTCTTATATTTCTTAAACTTAGAGCTTTTATTGGCAGTATTTAACTCTTATATGATGAAAAGGCTACATAACAATCACCTCTTCTATTCTTATGAGTATCTCTTGCTAATTTCATAGGCAACTCTTATAATTCTTATATCACGTATATTTAGAGGTTCATTTGTACTTCTTATACTCTTATATAATCAAAGCATACATATTTAATATATCCTAAAGAGCAGCTTTTATGAGTCCAATGAGCAACTCCTGTTAATTTCACAGGCAGCTCATACACATATCTGCTATATATTTCTCTTATAAATATATGTTGAGCATGTCTTATAAACTATACAAAGATATTTTACATATATCACAGTTTTCTGATCTCTCTCTCTCTCTCTCTCTGTCTTTACAGATACAACTATCAACGCTCCTACTCTCACTCGCACGAGGTGCCCAGCAATCCGGACGAGCGCGCTAATTACTCGACGAACGAGTTCAACATCAATAGCCACAAATCGCTGCCGGATCTGCATACGCAGATCAGTCGCCACTCGCCGCACAGCGAGATCTTGAGCTGCTGCAGCCGGGGCAATCGTTCGATCAAATCTGCCGGAGAGTCATCCATTAATCGGGACTCGGGTGGCAGCTCTGGCCACTATACGCATCGCAGCGAGCCGTGTTACAAGCGGCAGCGAGAGACTCAGTCGGGCACCGCCAGTGGCACGATCAGGAATTGCTGTAACTTGGTGGCGGCGACTCGCAGGGACAGCGGTTCCTCCACGCAACACAGCGCCAATTCGTATTGTGGCTATGTCACCGCCACTGGCATGGATTGCCGATGCAAGCAGGAGCCAGGACCTGGGATGGGCGGCATGATGCCCGGCTACGACAATGCGGCTGCCGACTATTTGCTCAATTTCACGCCGACGCCGGAGGTGCCGGAGGCCTTTCAGGACTCGCCATCACCGCGTCTCAAGACCCAAACGCCGCGCTACTCGAGCTCGTCCAGCCAGCAGCTGCAGACCAGCTCGCAGGGCTACACGAGCATCAATCACTCGCAGAGCTCGCTGGTTCAGAGTCCGGGATCGGCGCCCTCGGTGGATGACATCAGTCCGCCGCCCATCCAATTCAAGCGGCAGCGTTGCATTCGGTTCAAGAATCGCAATCGATTGCCCGTCCAGCCGCGCACCTCGCCCAGCAGCGGCTCGGCGGGCTACAAGCGGAACATGGAGCACGAGAATGTCTTCTTTCCGAAGGGTTTCTCGGCGGACATGGAGCGGGAGGCACTGAATGCCAGCATATCGGAGCTGGAAAAGTTCTTCGATCGTTTGGGCCTGAACGACGAGGCGTTCCATGAAATCTACAGCCAGCCGAGGCGGCATCAACACAATCCGGAAACCGACTCGGATGATTCCAGCACTGTGTTCTTCTCGGATGTCAGCACCGTGGACTCCATGCGATTGCCGGACAGCACAGAGACTCAGCCACAAACCACGCAGCCGTATCGACCCTCAGAGCCGCCGTCGATTGTGGAGCGCAATGCGAGGATTATCAAATGGCTCTGCAACTGCAAGAAGATGCAGGGCGTGTGAAGCTGCACCACACACAATTTTTATATCGATCTATAGAAATTGTTAATTTTATCTAATGTCAAGTAACTACCAAAGCCTAAACCCAGCCGAAGCTTGGAGTATAATGGAAAGACTCTAGGATCCTAAAGATCCCTTAAGAGCCAAGGATAATCAGCTATCAAGAGATCGCACAACTGAGGAGCTACTTATTGTTGATGCTCAAACACAATGAAAGACACCCTAGAGTTCGGCGGTTACCTGATATCTTTGGAGCCCCGAACCGCTGCTGAGGATCCTCCACTTTTGATATTGATCTTTAGATAAGAATAACTTTGTCTTTCGTCAAGTAACTACCAAAGCCTAAACCCCATTCGAACTTCGGAGTTTAAATATATAATGTGCAATATAGCCTAGAGTCCTGAGGATCACTAGGCTGTACAACGGAATCCCTGTTAAGGATTCTTCACTTTTGATATTGATCTTTAGATATGGATAACTTTATCTCTCAAGTCAAGTAACTACCAAAGCCTAAAAACCCATTCGAAGTTCGCAGTTCAAATTCAAGTTCAAATGTAATGGAATAATACCTTAGAGATCCAAAACAAATATGATCCCTAGATAGGGGTTCATTAGCCATTTGAATGTGCGTTTAGTCACTTTTTTTGCTGCCACGTTTTGCAGGCCCCAATTAAATAATTGTATTAACTAATCGTATAGCTAAATGAGAGATCATATTAATCGTATACATAAATGGTATTATTAGATTGAATTATTGTACAATTAGTTCTTATAACGTGCATATATCGTAAACATATTTACTACCTGTATATGTATACACATATATATATTTGTGTGTATATATATATGTATGTAGTTGCCAAACAAACAAATCCCCACAATTGAAAAGTACTCGTAAAGAAATTGAACCTACCTATTTATGTAAGTGTAAAACGGTTTGCATGACGAATAAATATTTATGATTATCAAAAGAGACATTGAGTTTTATTATGTATAACCTGTAATTGGTAAAAGTGGGTTAACTGATGCAGCTAAACTATACAGAATTACCTATTTAGTTCACGTTTTGTTCTGCGCCTTATATGGGCTCATAATGGAACAGCTGTGGGACTAGGCCGAGCTCATTGTCAAGGGGCACTATAAAAACGATCGCTGTTCTGAGAGTTATCAGAGTCTAGCTGAAACTTTTGCAATGAATAAGTTCTTAGTATTGGGTGTTGTCCTAGGTCTACTTTCAATGGTGAGAAAGTTATTCGAACATATGAATAGCTTAATATTATAATAATATAATAATAATATACCAAGATCTATAAAAGTGGTATAAGCATACAAATTTCAAATTTTCTATATTTCGATGTAATTTTTCAGGCCCTGGCTCATAATGTAAGTATTAAAAAATTTTAGCTGCACCTGCAGCGTTTAAATGTCATATGATATCTCCATCACCGAAGGAAATTGGTGGACACGATGGAAAGGGAATTGGTGGCATTGGAGATGGTGGTATTGGAGGTGGTGGCATTAAGGGCATTGGAGATGGTGGCATTAAAGGCGGTGGTATAGGAGGTGGTGGCATTGGAGGTGGTGGCATTGGAGGCGGTGGCATTGGAAGTGGTGGCATTGGAGGCGGTGGCATTGGAGGCGGTGGCATTGGAGGTGGTTCCGTCGTAGAAACTTGTCCTCGACCCTCCCCTGAGGCCGTAAGAGTGAGTATTTTCTAAAGGAAAATAAATTTAACTTCATATATTTAATATATGATCCTTAGTGCCTGAAACAGTGGGCGTGTCAGGAAGTCCTTCGCCTGGATCTGCGGTAAGTGAAGATATTATATATGATACTATATAGTATAAAATATAATATATAATATACTCTATATATACTTACACCCTTCACCTTTAACAGCTGCCTGCTAAATATAAATAGACATAGCTTGCTGGGCAACCTGGTAAAGGTGCCTGGCATAACGGGCGGTACAGCCGGTGGTCACGGTGCACACGGTGCTCACGGTGGTGGCATTCTAAGCGGACTGCTGACTGGCTAGCTGAAACCACAGTGCACAATTAAAATAATAAAAAATCAGTAAGGGTAGCTCGAGTCGGGTGTGCTCGACTTGTGAATACCCTGAAAGCTGCGTAAAGCTGTTGTTTTAATCAATCTTTGTCTATGAATTGTTGGTAAAATATGATGAAATTATTTGACTTACAACATACTACATTTATATGCATATACATAGGAAATTATGAATCTCTAGATATTGTAGTTTCTGAGATTTGCAGAAACATATCCCTATGAGTAGCTAAAGCAAACTGAACATATATTTACGCAAAAGTCTACGCCCTCCAACTCCTTTTCCTCCACACTCCCGCAGCCACCTATAAACCCCTTTTGGGGTTAAGGGTAAAATCTTAAGCTGAGCAGCGCAACGTATCGAATTGGAATCATGGCTTCGCCTGTTAATGGCCAGTCAATAATGATGATGGCTAACAGCTAACGGCTAACATGCAATTGCGGATTATGGTCAATGGGGGCGATAATCGAGCCACATAACAGTTAACGCAATTATTGTTTAAGAGCTCGTTTTGGCCAAGAGCTGCACAGAGCAGCAATTAGTTGGCCAATTTTCAAATTAGCCAACAGCCACCTTTAAATTGTATCTCATTGAGGCTGGCGAGACAGAGAAAGAGAGGGAGAGAAATGAAGAGAGAAAGAAAGTGAGAAAGAGTGATGGAGCGCTGGTTGAGCTGGGCGGTCAGGGCTCACGGGTCACCTTAAAGCCAGGCCAAATAAAAACTTGTGGCTCATTCGAACAAAGTCGCAAATCATTGAAGCATATGCAATTATTCATTTTGAGGTTGAATGCGCTCGAACGAATACACACAGATGCGAAAGCGAATGCGAATACGAAAACGAATATGGCTACGAAATACTACGAATACACGAGCTACTCGCCTGCGAGCCAAATTTAAATTCAACAGCAGTTCTTAAACGCATAGTTATCCTTTTTTCCGGATACCCTGTATGCGTAATGGACAAACAGGGTGGATTAGTTTTGAAAACAAAGGCTCTATGTCAATATTCCTAGTCCTCCTAGAAAACCAGATAATGATAAAACGTGCTTTGATAACTGTATCTTTTATAATTCAATCGTTAAAAATCGATATTTCAATATATCCACATAGATATCTTAGAAAGTATCCAACAAAATTATTTAAGCATATATCATGCTTAAAAATGTAATGCAAATAATCATCTGATTCTCTGTTCATCTGAATTTTCGTCTATGTCTATGATTATATTTTGTAGTTCCCAACAAAATCGAAGAATTGCATCCTAATTGATGTATAGATATGTACAGGATATCTAAAGTCGAGCACTTCCCACTGGGGCAATCATTGTAATTTCTTTTGTTTTCATTTTTGTTGCCTCCTCCGTTTTATTTTATTTAATTTTTTTTTTTTTTTTTTTGACTGGCCTTCGCTCTTGGCTAGATCGTAGTCCCATTTTAGCTTAATCCGTCACTAGCATCGACAGTTGCGATAGTCCCGTTGGCAACTTCAATTTCCTTTTGCCCTTTTTATAATTAACTTTATGTGTATGTATTTAGTTTTATTGCTCGTTAGACGGCCCCCGACTCGTCGACCGAGGACAATGAAACAACAATTTGTGGCAACAGCAGCGCAACGTGTGTGGGGCCAAATGCCACAGCCTCTGCCTCGGCTTCAGCTTCGGTCCCAGCCTCAATGGCAATGCCACCTCCACAGCAACTGCCACAGCCAACGCCATCTTCATCGCCTTTGCCATCTTCATCTGAGCTTCGCCTTGGCCATTTTCACAGCCTTGCCCATTATATTAATTACAAACGTTTGCCCAGCCACATTTCCACAGCTCGAGAGTTCCTGTCTCCACTAATGGGCCACAGCAACTAAATCACACGCAAAGCTCTAAGGCGATTTTGGACAGCGAGCCAGTTAACGAGCTGGAATGTATATATATACATATATACATACAGATTGTATATACATATATAATTCTAATTTATATATTAGAATTAACTGAAGCTGCAAGACATTCAATAGCATGTTATTCCTTAATAGATTCGATGGCATCAATGCTCACGATTCATTCATTCGATTCCGTATAGATAAAGACAAGTGCTGACATCCTTAGCTGCAAGTTAAATATGTAAAGGATGTATAATTGGCATTGCCTGACTATGAATCACCCTGATTATTCCCTATATAAGCAGCCAAGCTTTCTGCTTTGCTCTTTAGAATAATTCTAGTTTTATTTACTAAAATTTTGTTCACTCTAAGAATTTATGAAAAAATTTAGAAAAATTGCAGAAAAAATATAATCTAACCAATCCAAAGAATAAGCTGTTGAATTTTGATCAAAAATATATACACTTTATGTTCTATAAATCACAATATTTATTCCATTTAATTTAGTTTGTCCAAAGCTTTGATAACATCCAAGCTAGCTATATCCGATTCGGTTGTAGTCTGCGCCACAAGATTCTATTTGAAGACCGGAAATAAGTTGTGAATTTTCTCATTAGGCAAATGCATTTTCGGAGGGTCTTACCTCTGCGCTGGGCTGCTCCTTAAAAGCCTCCGCCAGACCGGGATGAATGTTGCTCAAGGACTCGTCGCCGTGTCGTATATAGACTGGTACATGACCCTTGCGTGGCTCCAACTCCTGATAGGGCGCAGCTGAGAAAAATTTAATTACAAGCCATTAAATCATTGCCAACTCTGTCCCCCACCCTCTCTGTCACTGTCTCTGTCTCTGTCTTTTGCACTCCTGATAATCTACGATGACATACACCCGGAAACCTTGAATCACAACGTAATTATGACTAACGAGCTGCTGTTGCTGATGTTACTTTTGCTGCTGCCCCTGCTTGAATCTACGCCTCTGCCACACAGTTGGTTTTTAGAAATTAAAAAAAAAATATATTTATAGAAAACCTGTTTCAGCTCTCAACAACAATAGAAACGAAACGTGAATAGTTGTGCTAATAAAAATGATTTTGCATTTATTAGTGCCTAGTTTGAATTGATTTGTATTTAATTTGGATGCTCTGCAGACTCAACTAGCTCGGTTACTCACCTTTGGCCAAAATGCACAGCAGCAGCATAAACAATGCGATCAGAATGCAATTCGTCGATTTGAACATCTTCGATTGTAAGAATACTGAATGATTAGATCTTGAAAGGCACAGCGCAGACTCGAGACTGACAGCAGAAAGTATTTGTGCCTAAGATTTATAGCGAAGTTTGTTCTCTTTGAGTTCTCATCAGCTCGCAGTGCTCAGTGCTCAGATGCTTAGCATCAATCAACTTTCCACTCCGCAGCATCTTTATATATTGGTTAGATTATTATTTTGGGGGCAGCGCCAAGTCTCACGACTTTTTTGTTTTCGCTTCAAGCTGTATTGCAAATCTTTCTTCCGCTCTTAGCCGTAGCTCCACTCTCGTCTTTCAGTTCCCACTTTCCACTCCACAGCATCTTTAGCCGAGGCATTCTTGATCTGAGTGTGTTGAGCGAATACTCAAGACGGGAATTGCCAGGCAGCTGTTGCTATAACGCTATATCGTAGCAGTTTGTTCTTCCGCTCAACCTTGAGCTCTCTTCATAGTGTATATATGTATATGTGTATATGCAGCTGGGTATATTGGTTTTGTGAAAATGTTTAAAGTAAGTAGTGGAAGGCTGGAGTGTATATACTTGATCAAAGCAACAAGCTGAGTCAGTTCAGCCATGTCTCTTAGTCTATTCGTCCTTCTCTTTCAATCTAAGCTTAGAGCTTAGAGCTCGAGCGCTTTAAACTTAAAAGACTAGAAGATTATTAAAAGCTATACATTAAAATTTAAGCTTTTTATTATTTCCTTTCCTTTTATTAATTTCCTTTCTTATTATTAATTCCTTTCCGTTATCCAACCTAACCTAAATTGAATTCAGAGTATCTTCAAGTCGATCAATTTTTACTACTACTTTCTTCTTGCCTGTATTGATTCCATACATCTCCAGCTTGTTCTTCTCTTAAGCTTTACTCAGTAAATATTTGCACTCCACTCAAACCTCTACATCGCACTCCATATCTGTATATGTAGGTTAGCTGGTTAGACCGAAGACTTGGGAGCTCAAAGGCCACTAGTGCGCTCTCTTCTACTCATTAGCTCTGCTTGCAGCCTTGAACTCTCTTCAGCGCTCAGCTCAAGTCTACTTCATTAGTTAAGTAAATTTAATATATTATATTGCTTAGATTGAAATCTGTGTGAGTGGAAGCTAGGATTTAAGACTGACTGCTAAGACTTGCAGCGCAGTTCTCCTTGTCTTTGTCGCTACTCAGTTAAGCTCTCTCCATTCTCTCAATTTATCTCGAAATCTACTTTTCCACTCCACTCCATGCCATGCCACGCCACTCCACTTTACTCTACAGCATCATCAACAGCTTGAGCTTCCAGCAATAAACTTTTGCTTGGCAAATTACTCATGGGTAGCTGATGATGACGTTGATGCTGCTGCTGCTGCTGATGATGATGATGATGATGATGATGATGATGGTGGCTGTAATGAAGCTGTCGGCATTCGCGAACTTTTTGATACCCGGAAGGGGGAAAGGCTGGCTGCTTTAGCTACTTACATATATATGTGGCTCCAACTTCTACTTGGGAGCAGGTCGAAGCAGGTCGGAGCTGGAGCTGGAGCTGGAGACGTCATTTAGTGGCCTGTGGCATTATCCACTCTGTGGCCATAAAGCAGTTGCTGCTGCCGCTTCTTCTTCTTCGTCTTCTTCTTATTGTTTTGCTTCTTTTTCAAATTCAAACGCTCGCAACTTTTTTGTTTCAAATTAATTGGGTCGTTAGAGAAGCCATTTGCGCGGGTTCTTTCACTTATTCTTTTTTCCCCCACGTTTTTTTTCCTCTTCTTCTTCGCTGTTTGAATTGTTTGCCCACTTTCGCTTTTGTTGAATGTATTCAAATCGAGAAAATTGCTGACATCTGTAGAGCTCGACGAGTGTCAATCTGAGGGATTGCGTGGGGCTGGGGTTGGGGCTAGGGTACTTGGTTTGTTTGCCTACTTCGATTGTTCCGTCGAGTGCGCGTCCTTCGACTTTGTTGTACAGCAAGTGTTATGTGTGTGTGCAAGGGCGCAGGATTTCAAATCAAATTGTTGAGCAAATATTCAACAGAGTAAATATGTTTATGCCGAATCAAGCAATTTCATTTAAATACACACACTCACACACAGCAGGGTAATGTATGTGTGTGTGTGTGTTGACGTTGTTTGTGCACTTGTGACAGCATCTGAATTGAATCAAAGCATAGTTTATAATGCGCGCTGACATAAGCCAAATTAAATTTGATCAGGCTTAAAGACAACTTGTTACTTCGTACCTGGGGCGTCGTCGGCAAAGGAAATCCTTTTACTCGCTTCAACAGTTGTCGAATGTCCTTAAAAGCTTGAAATTCTAAACTTTTTAGGCTTATGTAGAGCTTTGATGGGACCCAAAGTCCAATTTCCATGAACTTTTCCTACTGCTTAACCAAAATACTTCGTATAATTCCAGATCCACATTATCACCAAAGAAACATTTGAGTTTTTGTTTGTCTGTCGTTTATTTAATATGTTTATGTATTTTATGTTTAGTATGTATTTTTCCGAGGCTCTAAAAATAGTTACATGGCTGCACTAATGTGTGTAGGTGTAGCTATAATACGTAACTATATCTAATTAATATTATGTCTGGTTTTGGGGATTTTCATTTTCCGTTTTTCATGTTTCATTTTCCATTTTCCTTTTATGTTTTATACTCGTATGCATGTATCGTATGTATGTATGTATGTTTTCTTTGTATCTGTACTTGTATGTTTATACTATTATATGGTTTCTGTGTTTCTATTATTATTTATTTTAAGAATGGATAAGCATTATGTTTTTTCGGTTTTTCTTTTGGGAAGAGGGGGTACATATGTTATAGATAATATATATACTCTACATATTTTTTGCCATAAAATCGTTATGTATGTGTGTTTCACTTGTGTATGTAAACGCTGTAGATAAAGTATGTAAAGTATGTAAGTATGTAAGTATGTAAGTTGTATGTTTGTTAAGTATACGAGTATGTACGATTTCTATATAGTTTATAAGATCCACTGTAGCATATGTATTTAAAGAGACTGTGTATTGGGCATTGATAATTTCGTTTGATTATTATGTTTACTTGTTTTTTTTTTTATGTGTTTTCTTTAAATATTTTCAAATATTTTCTACGAAAGCAGAAACTATTTAATTGCTTGTTTCGTTCGCATGGTAGAGTTAAATCTTTTTCTAACTAAAATTTTTGAACAAGAACAAATTCTAATTAAGTGAAAAGTTGCTGAATGTGTATATATATATATATAATATATATAAAGACTTGTACGTCATTTACCAGAGTTTGGTAAAAATATGGTTTGGTATTCTAGAGAAATAGAGAGAGACTCACACAGAGTCTGAGAAAGAGAGTGGGAGAAAGAGAGAGAAAGTTGACTAAATAGGTGTCATATATGTTAGTATATCTATATCTTTATAGGTCTATAACTAAGTTTTGAGGGTTTCCATAAAAGCGAGGAAATTGAGTTCAGATGAATAGCCTATACTCATTTCTTGGTAGATGAAGTTAATTTTCTAATTCAAGAATAGCTGTCAGAAAACTTTAGGATTACTTATGAAATCAGGGAATTTAGAGCATCATGAGAATAACTTGACCTAGAGCTCGGCTAACTTCAATAAATTACTGCATTCAGTTTGAAGTGATCTACTTTAAGCCTCTATAGTCTAAGGAAATTATCACAGGGTAACATTGTAACACTTGCCTGCATTGAAAGTCCTACTGATAAGTAAACACGATGAAGTGATATTGCTGTAAGCGATATTGCTGCAGACGGTCACTCGCTCACCTCGTCAATTGAAATTCAATTCTTTTTTGATCAATTACAGAACTTTAAGGAATGATGTTTAAAGAAGATTTGAACGCCAGATGTAGTACTCATTTATGCAATGGGTTTTGGAAGAAATATCGATTTCAAGCGCATTGGAATTAAAAAAAAATTGATTTTAGTCTCAAATGTATTCATCAAAAATCCTCTTAAAAGTTTATTACTCAATCCTGTAATCCTTGTGTAACTTTCAATTAAAATCCTTATACACATTTGCCTAAGTAAAGCTGCAAAGCTTTTGTAAAAACACCTCAAAACTCAGTTATATAAATATAATTAATAATTATATATGATA